TGGTTATAAAAGAAAGTGTTCCGTGATCCTAGTAAAAGCCTGACGGTCATTCCACTCTGTCGTAAGCCTAAGCCTCCAGGTCAGCTGTGTGCTTGGCAATAAGTATTTAGCAATCCCTCTGCTACTGCTATTAGGCAATGTGCTGAACAATGCAGGAACAACCCAAGAAGACGGAAGGAATACCAGATTCATGGTGCGAAAAAGAACTGGTTGACATTCAACCACTTGAAGAGGGAGCATAGGATCAAGAGCCAATGGTACTGAAAGAAGAGGTCCAAGTGGCACTGATGGCATTAGGAGAAAGCTAGGCGCTAGGAATGGATAGAATCTCAATGGAAAAGTTTCAACAAACGGACACAGCACTGGGAGCACCCACTCATCCAAGTCAGGAAATCTGGAAGACAACTGCCTGGCCATCAGCTAGAAGAGTTCCCTGTGTCTGTCCATTCCAAAGAGAGTGAGCCAACAGAATGTGGGAACCATCAAAGCATATCATAGCCAAGTAAAATTTTGCTGAAGGTAATTCAACAGGAGTTGCAGAATTACAGAACTGAGACAGCCAGGAATTCAAGCCAGATAAAGGAGAGGTGCATGGAATGAGGGCTATCATTGCATACACCAGCTAGATCTTGGCTGAAAGTAAAGGATACCAGAGAGATGTTGACTTGTCTTCTACTGACTATACAAAGGCATTTGACTGTGTGGGTCGTAACAAACTATGGGAAACAGTAAGGAGAATGGGAACTCCAGGACGCTCGCTGTGTTTGTGTGATATCTGTACATGGGTCAAGAAGTTCAAACTGAACACGGGGGCATTTGTATGATTTCAAGTTAGGAAAGGTATGCATCAGGGAAAGAGTCCTGGTGGCATAGAGTGTTATTCACTGGGCTACTTAACCACAAGATCAGAAATTCGAACCCTCCAGCCACTGCTCAGGAGAAATACATGGCTTTCTGCTCCATAAAAAGATTCACAGGGGAGGAAACCCCAGGGAGTAGCTTTACTCTTTCATCCAGGGTCACTCTGAGTCAGAGTCAACTCTGGCAGTGGATAAGGGTTTAGGGGTGTCAGGGTTTTAGCCTTTGGCTATATTCACTCAGTCTGTATGCTGACCAAGGAATCCCAAAACCGGACTATAGGAACAAAAACAATGGCGTCTGAAGGAAGAATCTTAACAACTATAAGCTTGTTTGCTGTAAGGACTTGATGCGCTTAGTGATGACAATCAACGACCACATACTGCCTTCAATCTGGATGACACCTCAACATAAAGAGAGCCAACATCCTACTAAATGGACCAAAAAGCAATATCATAATGCAGAAAGGATTGAAGCTGTCCAGGATTACTTGGATCCACAATCACTACCCATGGAATCAGCAATCAAGAAGTCAAATGGTATAAGACATTGGACAAATCTACTGAAAAAGCCCTCCTGAAAATGTTAAGAGGCAAAACTTTCAAGCTCACGTCCTTCGGATGGATTCCTACCCATTTTGACCCCCTAAGACAGGGGAGAACTTCCCCTGTGGGCTTCCAAGACTGTGACTGTTTATGGGAGTAGAAAACCTCATCTTTCCCCCTCAGAGCAGATGGAGGTTTAAACTGTTGACCTTGCAATTAGTAGCCCCACTATGCATAACCCACCATGCCATCGGGGCTCCTTGTTAAAA